TTATATAAATTGCACCATATGCAACTGACGAAAGGTGATGTCTTATTAACTGTATATTCTTGAACTACTTTATTTCTTGCCAGTGAGAAGTTATCTATCATCTTGGTAACCGCTAGCAACACTTGGGGTCTGTTTTTATTAGTTCTGCTACTTGGATACGGATTGGTGGAGGTACCAAGAAAGTATTGGAATGCTGCCAAGAAAGGTCACCAACTCTCTTTCACTTACTTTCAAATTGCAAAGCTTAGCACTGAAAAGTCTGAAGCAGAAGAAAACTTGGAAGATATTCTGGATGTAAGTTGATGTCTTATCCCATGAACTGAGCACTGGTGACACTCACTAGATGTGGCATTTTGTTGAGAATAATCTCAATACATAATTTCCACACATTGGGAGAAGTGGTGATAGCTATTAAGTGTAGTTGGTAAATTGTACAAGTTATAATTATTATGCAATATGTGATAATATTTCTTATGTTTCTTTAAAATGACATGCAAGACCTATTTTAAAGCGGTTCAGACCTAATTAAAAAAAATTAAACATCCTTTTATTGAATACTTTGAGAAAATAAGCACACCAGGTGATATTTTGAGAAATTATAGTCTGAATCCATGTAGAAAATGACAAAATCGTCATCTCATCATTGGGTTATGGTGTCTATGGTGAAATGATTGTATTGCGAGAAATATTGCAAGTGTACACGAAAGTATTACAAGTAATCATATCGACCAGTGAATAGTAGAATGCCATAATATACTGCTTTAGTGAACATTTGGATGTACTGTCAGGTGTATAATAATGAGGTAGGAGGTAGATTAGTATTTTCTTTATACACAATAAGAATTTTTCTCTTATGATTTGTTATGTGCACATTAATTTCAGGAAATAAAGAAAGCAGCAGAAGCCATTCGTTATAATCACCCGCTACACAAACACATAGATACTATAATGACCAAATGTCCAGAGGAGTTTCAAGATAAGGTTAGTAAGCGAACCATGGATGACTATGAAGACTATGGTAGCAATGACATAGAGATGCCTACACAGAGAACACTGGTTAAACTGCACAGTAAGGTTATATATGCTGTAATGCATGAGAGAAGAACTTATTTTGAATGGTGTAAGTTATTGGAACGGGCCTTTGAGTTGGAAGATGTAGAAAAGAATATTCTCAATGGTGATGGGTAAGTGACATGTCTCAATTATTTTCATGCCATGCTCATAATGATAATGTATGATTTTTAGTAGCAGCAGGACTAGATCCAGGTTTGGAAACTACCCATGACTGAAGTATTTATCATGCCATTCAAATTCTGGCATTTGTTTTTGTCTCTTTCTGGTGAAATTGACTACCACATGTGTGTAAATGAGTGTATATCTGGATTTGTCCCTCAACAGGGGCAGATATCTGTCAATGTTAATGTTTTACACTTGGTTACAATAGTTTTCAAATTATGTAAAATATGGAATTTTTGTCTTTGATTTATAGTGAAAACTCTTTCTTCAGTACAATCTCTCTGAGAAAATAAATTTATATTAGAATTTGTCTATTCCCTTGAATTTGTGAATGAAAGTGTCCTAAGTGATAGAATTAGCTATTTCATTGAAAAAATGTACATGTTTATGAAAGGACGCCTCTCCTGTGTGAGTCTGATGCTAGGTGGAAATTGCATGCTGGGTAAAGTTTGCAACTGATTTATTGAGAAGGAGAGGGATATAAAAAGGAGTGCAGTCAAATTAGAGATTACAATTAACAATTAGAGATATTTAGTCATCATTGTGGCTTCTTGACCTTATTAATATTAGCCAGTGGACTTATCACATATTTTGACATCACACACTTCAATTGTCATCTGATCTTACATTATATCAAAATTACACACTCGTGTTTAATGTCATTCTTATCAACTAATAATAATATATTCTGTTCCAGGTATTTCAAACACACCTTCCAAAGTACCAGCAAAAGAAGCCTGTTTGGATCACTATACACTCCGAAGATAGAGTGGTATTGGAAAACTGTATTTTCCCCCTGGGTACTACGTTTTGTGGCTATTGTATTATCTATCTTCTCTGTGGCTGTCATCTGGTCAGAAGTTGTGTTTTTCAACAAAAATCCTATTCTCTCACTGTTTGCTATATTTGTGAACTTGGCTGCTGACAACTACAGTTATTTCTACATTGAGGTAAGGGGTAATGAAATAATTTGAAGTTTGATTCTGGCATAGTGTCATAGCTGTAGTTCTAAATGGCCACTCTCATCATTATTTGCTAAATTCATTGAGGATCTTGCATACACTATGAATTGTGTATGTCATGCAAATTCAAGGCAGACTATTTGGTTATGTTAATCCAGCAATGTAATTAATTAATTCCTGTTTGAACAAAAGAACTGTCTGTCTGTCTGTCTGTCTGTCTGTCTGTCTGTCTGTCTGTCTGTCTGTCTGTCTGTCTGTGCGCGCGTACATGCACGTGTGCGTCTGTTTGTCCAGAGCCATTTCAATCTAATTTGTTACCTTGATGTCAGCCATTTTTGTTTTAATGTATGTGGTTCCTGAGCCATATATCTGAAATGCCTTAACTGAATGCAGTCAAACTTTACAGCTACATTATACATCATGTCATACTCATATGCATGCATGCATTCATTTGATAATCCAATTAAGGATAGCTGAATGGCGGGATGCTGTTACAAAGCCATATTCTCTGACAAGTCTTGACTGATTGAAATCATACTTTACAACTGCATTACACATCATGTCATGCATATTCACATGCATTTTTCTGATTTAAAATAGCTATTGACATAAACTTGATGGATTGTACAGTTAAGAATGGAAAAAATTAAAAGTTACAGCACATGTCCCTTTATCTGTTATGAATTGCAAAGTGACATGCACATGGACACAATGCAGGATTTGTTCATACTATGTTATCTGGAATAACACCTATACTATATAACAATGATATTTATTATGTGTATTTCCATTTCAGCTTGCGTCATTTCTAACCATAGCCTATATGAGTGTGTGTGCATATTATCCTATATTTAAGATTAGAGTGTTTAATTATTATTATTTAGCTGACCACCACCAGACTGATGAGAACAGCTTACTTTTCTCTGCCATGTAAGTATTCTTCAGTTAGTTGGTGGCTCCTGTTTTCTTATTCTTTCAAATCATTTACTTAGTACCTAAAATTATGTTTGGTTCAAGCATCATATTTGATCCCATGCAGTGTATTGATAGCATATAAAATACTTTATTTGTTCACATCATATATATACAGACTAAATGCCTATCAATTACTCACTACCATAGATAATTCATCAGGCCTAATCTACATTTATTTGTTCACATCATATATATATATACAGACTAAATGCCTATCAATTACTCACTACCATAGATAATTCATCTGGCCTAATCTACATTTATTTGTTCACATCATATATATACAGACTAAATGCCTATCAATTACTCACTACCATAGATAATTCATCAGGCCTAATCTACATTTATGTAATTATGTATTCTAAGTGATAGGATTTTCCCCTGTATTATTTGCATCTCAGCTTTTTTTTTAGAAATAAACTGCAAGAGGGAGCACTGCAATTCAGTGGCGCCACCGAGTGGGG